ATACGGAATATTTATTGAATTTCGGAATTTTCTGATTTTTCTTAACCATCGGCTGGTATCGTTCGATACTCGAAGCTAGAAAATATTCATGTTCATTGCTTCTGCAGCATCAGATGTTCAAACACTAAAATGATAATTCACTCTGACTTACTAACTTTACTTGCAATTCATGGTATTTAACAGCAACGATTGATTTCTATCTTTCTTTTTTTTTTCTCGTTCGTTAATAAAACCGAACGGAAACACATTCATTGATTGAAATAATAATTCCTATTATGAATTTATTGATAGTTCTCAAAGAGTTCGGGAATTTATTAAGAGAAAAAAAGAAACATTTCGCCGAGAATATATCGAGAATTTACTAAATAAGTTAAAAATTTTAGTCTAGGTATATGTTAATAATCGTTAAAGTAAACCTAGACTACTTCTTCGCCGCTCGTTGTCCTGATTATAACGAATAAATTTTCTTCTCTTATCTACGTATATTAGTAAGCTATTATAATACCTGAGTAGGTGAGGCACCATGTTGCTTATGATGACGCTGGTTGTCGTCTTGACGGTGTTCGTTCTCTTGAGGGTAATTTACCTCATGTTCGTCCTGTTGATGATGCTCTTCAGGCTGATACTCCTCTTCCTGTTGTACCTCAGTGTGTTCGTCCTCGCTGTAAGAATTATCGGTCTCAGGCGCCGCGTGGGCTTCCGCGCTCGACACTTCCGGTTCCTCGATCGGTTCCGGACCGTCCTTCAAACGCGGCTGTTGTTGCACGCCACCAAAGAAGGCCTCCCCGCTCACGGCGTTTCCTTGCGCGAAAACACCAGACGCTTGGCCACCGTGATTCGAACGTCGAACGGGTCTGTAATACCCGGTGAACATCATCGCTCTATGGGGATACGGGTGCACGGCTGTCCTCTTCTCCCGAAGGAAGACTATGGGATTTCCGTACGAATCTAACATCACTGAAACTTTCGAGAAAGATCGATATAGTTTGGATTTAAATGTTGACCAGAGAACTTGACTTTCGAAGGCAAGACGGAGGTGATTTTGCGTAGAAGAAAGGAAGGATGAGTTTCACGTTGAGTTACCATCCTGGACTGCGAATTTTTTGACTCTAATCGAGACAGACTCTCACCGGCAAAGAGTTAAAATGATACACTTGACAAGCATCTTTCTTCACAAAAAGAGAAAAGGAAATAAGTCTGTCATTTTACTTACTAGGTTCAGCAGGAATAGGTTTGCACTCCGTCACCGCGATCGTTGTCGCTACGACGACGAGGAAAACGAAGCTCATCCACTGCGCCATCCTCGAGAACCGAATCGTAAAACGACGCGAATTTAGTACAGATGCGAGAAATACCTCCCCAAGGAACTGTGATCAGGATTTTCGTCGGGACACCGGAAGCTGACAAGCACTGTGCACCTGTCCGGGGAACTGAGAGTCTAGCTGGTTCGCGAACTTTTTGCACGATGCTGCTATACTCGAATCCGCAATTGCTTTTATACCAAGAGCTAGGATCACGCGGGGGATGGGATGGATCGGTCGGATCCACGCACGAGGACGGGGATATGGGACCCTCTCTGCAGCCCCCACCATCGATCGTCAGGTGGTTGCCTCGTACCCAACAGGATCGTCGTAACGCAAACGTGCGCATCGTTCAACGATACGTGATCGTCATCCGAGATCGTTTTCGAACTTGAATCGAACGCATTAATTGCGATCTCTGCTGAGTTTGCTTGATCGAATTACACAAATATTTCTCTTGTCGATAGGGGGATGCATTGGCAAATAGTTTGCGATCCTTTGGTTGCTGAGAAGATTGGCGATGCAACTCTCCAACATGTACAAATGTCGGCTACTATAACGAAATTATCACACGTGCGTTTATAATTTCGATAATTGTCCTGCGTTTAAATGGGAAAATTTAATGCTTTGAATTTTTTTACTAGTTCACAAACGTACTAATGTCAGTGGGTTAGAGAACAATTGAAATGTGGATGAACGATGACAGGGGATTGGAAAGACGGGATGCAAATTGCAAATTTTTCATTTGGGGGATGAAACGTGGGACGTCGAGGATAAACCTTTCGCGAAGATTCTTCTTTAATTCTCGCCGTTCTTTTTTTTAACTCTGGATGCGAGTCGTATAAATCAGATACGGATAAGCCCGTGAACATTCGCTAGGCGGAGATTGAAAGAAAGTAACGTGCGATTATCAAGAAGAAGACGGATCGATAGCCGATACAAAAGATCGGTGTTCTTTTCACGATACTTTCATTCCAGGACTCGGTTCTCGTGAGTCAAGCGGATCGGAACCCGATGAAAGGATCTAACGACAGAATAACACTGAGGTTCATACATTTTCAATCGTTCTATAAATACGCGCGATCCAAGGAACGAGCCCAGAACCGACGCTTTCCGCCGAGTCTCTCATCCACGCCCTGTGGCCTGTGTATGTACTTTCACGAGAATTCGCGTTTCCAGAATTTCCCTTCCCTTCCATCGATCCTTCCTCGCTATTTATTCTGCGACCCGTTTCTTCCACGAACGTGGTCCTCCAGGCATTTCCATCCTCTGGACTCGTTAATCTGTCCGAACGTCGGACGAAAAGTT